GTGAGAGTACTCTTAGAACGCTTGTAATAAATAGCACATGAGTATGTTTGTTTATTGCTGAACCTCTTTGTGTATTTGGCAATAGGAGGTACATTTTAATTTGAATTGTTACTGATATTTTTGTCATTGTTATGCAAATCTGCAGTAGTTTGGCATGGAATAGATGTATATTTAAATGATCTGATTTCTGCCAATGTTGTACTGGATTCAAACTTGAAACTACTGTCTCTGCATACAGTGTTTATAATTATAATATGTCCTAGTTTTTAGACACATTGACAAAATACCAGCAGAATGCCTCAGCACTCAGTTTTTGGTTAATTTACTTTTTTTGTCTTCATGAATATGTATTCTGGTATTAACCAGCAAGGGCCATTAATCTCTTGGGTGACATCAGGCTAGATTATTAGTGAGGCGGCAACACTTCTGGAAGCACAAATAAAAATAAATGCATTATTTAGTTCAGGAAATGCCTGATGGGTGTTTCAAAAAGTTGAAAAGAGGGGAAAAAAAATTTCGTATGCACTTCAAGAGGCATCACAGACCCAGATTTTCTAAATATTAGTGACACTAATCTGAATATTGGAGGCAATGTTTCGCCCTGCTCTCCATCTCAACTCTGAAAATTGAGTATTTTCAACAAAGTCAAACAATTCAGATTAAACTTGTAAAGATGAAAATAGGGGACTCGTACTTTTATATGTTCAGGTGCCAGAGGAAGACTTTGCCAGTCAGACTTTAAAGGGGTTGTGAACTGAGAAATTAAAATTCCCTTGATCTTTTGATAGATAAGAGGTCACTGTGCTATAAAAACATTCTGTACGTTTCATAAATCAAAACTTGCTTGTTAGTATAAAAGCAGCTTATATTGAAGCCAATCTGCCAAAACGACAGCTTGTGGAATGTGACACTTTATGACGTAATTGTGTTGCTAAACACCGCCTCCGCAGAAGAAGATCAACGCCTGCTTCTACAGCACTGCCTGTTTAGCCCCGCCCACCGATTTGCACGTGTAGTATAAATAACCAGAGAGGCAAACACAGGTCTACGCAGAAATCAAACGATAAACTTTATTAGATCCATTTTTTAATAAAGTCAGTAAGTACTCCCTTACGCTTCATTTTACTGTGGATTCATTTACAAACAAGCCACAATTTGATATGGGATTTTCAGAAAGACTGAAACTAATATATGATGGTGTTCTGATTATATTGGATCCAATGTCGCACCACACAAGTGTGAGTAACTGTTATTATTACGTGATCACTATTGCTTTGTCTGTTATTGCAGATCATCTGGTACTGAGCATTTATGCGTTTTTAACCTAAATCACAGCAGTGTCCATCTGTGTAGGACGTAGGCTGTCAAACACGCACAACTCACTTGTTTTCCAATCATAGCAGTGGGCGTTTACTTCAGAATCTACAATCTGCCACGGCTATTCAAACAGAGCGTTCTGATGAGGGGGGTCAAAACAGGACAGAAAATAGCCTATTACTTCTAAATTATTGTGTTTTGATGTAAAAATCGTGATAACACAAGTGGACCTCAGAGAACAGTACAAAATGAAAAACAAAGGCAGTTCATGATACCTTTTATTGTTTCAATTTATTTCAATAGTCATGCTTAATATTTACAGTGCTTTTTGGGATTACTCTTGTTAAAGCTGTTGAGTGCACAGTCTTGTAACGTTCTGTCTTTTTGTCTGATTTTCAAATGCTTCTAGTGTGGGAAGTTGATGTATCCTACAAGCCTATATGATCCAAAATGTCCTAGGGTCAATCCCTGGTCAGCTCATTTACGTGCACAGTATGAACTTGAACTCCACAGAGAACCGAGTGGAACGTCAGTGCTAATTTCTCAAATCATACAGTCAGTGGCAGATCCATTAGAGGAATGCAGTGCAGTTAATGGAGCTGCCATGCTGTGACACAGATAATCAGACCCATCAAAACACGCAGTGAACCATGAATTGATCTCTAAGAGATTTTATACTTCGTCAGAAGTGCATCCATCAATAGACATTGCACTTCATAAAGAAATAATTGAATTAACACCTTTAGTTAATTTAACTTGTGAAATAATGCATTTTGTATGCCTTAAGGGAAGTTGACCGAGTCAAATACTCCTGGTTACTGAGAATGGTCTGATTCACCAGTTAATTTCAGAGGAGGGATCAGGATCATTTCTGAGTCAAGTGATGTGGCATGAGCCATTTGTCAGACTTATCCGCATAATGAAAGCATTCTCCATTCATGTCACGTAGACTTTACATAATGTACTTTAAATAGATAAAAGCAAATGTTTCGCCCCAAAGATTATACATTTATTTGAAATATAATTTAAAACTCCAGTAGGGATCTTTGGAGTCATGTGGAGTCGATATTCTGATTTAAATTTTGGTTACCTTGGTTACACTCTTAAAAATAAAGGTGCTTCACGATGCCATAGAAGAACCTTTTTGTCTAAATGGTTCCATAAAGAACCTTTAACATCTGAAGAACCTTTCTGTTTCACAAAAGCTTCTTTGTGGCGAAAGAAGGTTCTTCAGATTACAAAAAGGTAAGAAAGAGATGGTTCTTTAAAGAACCTTTGACTGAATGCTTCTTTGTGGAACCAAAAATGGTTCTTCTATGGCATCACTTGAAGAACCTTTTGAAGCACCTTTATTTTTAAGAGTGTACCCTGAGTTTTGGTTACCTTGTGTGCCCAGTGTTGTCATCTCATTTGGACAGCTGCCAGTCTGCCGTCTACTGTACATTTCATTCAGTCTGAAACAAAGAGATCCTTATTATTTTCTTTTCAGTCAAGACTTTTGGTTTATTTCATGTTCTCATAAATTATTCATAAAGCACCAAAAATGTATACTGTTAGTGTACTGAAAATGATAGAGTTCAATAGTACTTCACACACACTCTTCAAGGCCCGATTCTTTCTGAATCACAGGAAACGAACACAGCGCTTGCATTCTGCATTGATTTATCCTCCCATTGGGTGCAGGGAGCTGCATTTAATACTGTCTCATACACGAGGACAGAAGAAATAAACATGAGACATTTCAAATTTGACATTCAAATTCAAAACAGAAGTGGCTGGATGTCCGAAAATCTGCTGAGTACAATGGTACAACAATCCAAACATAGACCAGCACATAATAAAACAACATGACACTAGTCATTATGTTCCTCCGTACTTTCATTTTATCACCAAATACAGCAATTATTAAATGACATAGTTACGACTGTATAAGAGATATCCTGGAAGGATCCTTGGAAATATGAAAATTGTTGTTTAGATAGAAAATACGGTTTCTCAAAGGCTGCTGTTACTGTAGAAAGATGGTACATCACAAATCAGTTGAAAGGGAGGCTTTGTACTTGATATAAATCTAAACTAAAATACAGAGAACTATTGCAAATTATTTCACATTGCACACATTAAAAAGTGTGAAATGCAGTATACTGAAACTGTTGTAGTAAAAAGCCGTTCAAAAAACAATTCCCTCATAACTTCATAAAAAAGCTATAGCTGTGCTTACTGATCAATGAAGACCTGCATTTCAAAAAAGACAAACTTTTAACATCACAGTTCTCACTTTCATCTTTTTTCATATTGGATTAAAATTGGGTTTTTCAACTTACTGAAATTGAGAGTGTCATGCTGCACTTTGGAGGATGTTTGGGTTTCTTTTAATGTGTGTGGCGGTGTGTATAGTGAAGTAAATGAATGAGCATTTTCCAATAGCTATCCCTCCTCAGTCATTTTTTAAAAATGATTTTGCCCACATGTTGCTCAAATGATATTTTTGCACGTAACACAAAATGTCTTATTTAGGCTGTTCATTTTCATACAATGAAAGTGATTTTTGATTACAGCTGACAAACTTTGACAGAACAACCTGACACAGGAACAGACCAGAATTTATTATTCAAAGAATTTGTTATTCACTGAAATTTTCCTTCTCTCAGTTAATAAAATAATGAAGAACTGTCAGCAAGGACGATTTGCCAGACCATAAATCATAAAATGTTGTGTACATATTTACTAAACAATCTAAGTCAAAGATTTTTGTTTTGTATGATCCATGTGATGTGTCAAATATTTAACCTATAATATAACTTGGCTATATAAAATATTGCCTATGGTGATGTTTTTATTGTTTTTTTGTCCCTTTGCACCTTGTTAAATTAAAAATGAGGGGGAGAGAGAGAGAAGAATTTCTTCCACTTTAGAATATAGTATATTTAAAAAATGTTAGCTTCACAAAGTCATCATCTACTTTTCATTGTTTGGAAAACATTCTGCTAGCTAACTCCTACATATTCTACACATTATATGTTAACAGCACCATGAAGATGACTACATTCTTCCTTCCAATTTGTCCTTTTTGAGTAAACTATCTCTGTAATGATGGTTACTGCCATACGTTGATTTTGGGTACAAAAATGACCGATTCATCTGATTAGAGTATTTTTTCAACAATAGCCTAAAGAAAGTAGCAAATAACTGGTTTGAGCCACATTAAGGCACTCAAAATTTCTGTGACCTCAAAAATCCTGTAATCACACCACCATAAATGCCAGTACCTGATCCTTCAAGAACTAGCAGAAAGCACCTGTAGACTGTTGAGATGCATGAGGGAGTGGAAATATATCAAATAGTTACCAAATGGCTCTGCTGGTGCTCAAAAATCCTAAAAATCCAGAAGTCTCCAACACTGCAGTTGTCTTACATAGACCACTTCATTTAAAATGAGATTATCGATTATTACAAGGGAAGGGAATTTAATCTGCTACAAAATAACAGATTCAAATCCAGAATAAATAGCCAGAGGTTGTTGGATTATCCTTGTATCCATCATTACACAAAAAATATTAACCTTCCATCCAACAAATCAGCCACTCTGTCTTTCTTGTAAAAGTGTTTGCCTTCAACATGTTGATGAAGAGAATAAAAACTGTTAAGGGGAAATAATTATAATAAAAAAATATTTCTAAAAATAAAATCTTGGTTGAAAGTCATGAGCCTCAGCATAAACACAAACTACTTAAAAATCCCCCAAAATCAGCGTTCCACATGTTCAGAGAAAGTGATAATAAATTAGGTAAAACTGTAACAAAATATCAAATGAGCCTCTGGTCCTTACGACATATTTGTCCCTCTTCGAATTCAGCGTCTGTTTTTTGGGGAAAACGGTGTGTTGTAACCATACAGTGAATGCACTGAACTTCCTCTAAGACTGTGGTAGGTGCTGTTTGATGATCTCTCTGGACTGGGGTGGTATTCTGTCTGGGAAGCGCACCTGGAACTCCACTATCAAATCCCCACGTTGAGACGGATTTTTTGGGAAAGGTAGGCCTTCTCCACGCAGTCTCTTGATTGTGCCTGGTTTGATGATATCGTTGCAGGGCAATGTGATCGCTCGGTTGTCAATAGTGGGAATGTTCACCGTACAGCCACACAATGCCTATCAAAAAAGCAAAGTGAAGTCAGTGCGAGAGCCGTTGATGGTATTTCAACACTTAAGCACAAACTCTACATGGCGACATAGAGACCTAGTGTAAGATGCCTCTATGATGTTACAGGCACAGGGAGCACATGTACAGTATATATTCATATAAAATAGTAAGTATATATGTGTTTATATAGCACACTGTCTAAAAAAAAATTGGTGAAATTTATGGTAAAAACTGGCAGTTGTGGTTGCCAGAATTTTACTGTAGAAAATACATAGCAATATTTTAAGTTTTACAGATTGAACAAAAAATTTAGAAAAAAAATAAAACATTATTTGGTACATTACCAAATTTTCCAAAATCTTTTTTTTTACTTTATAACATACCGCCTGCAAAACCAGGTTTAAAACACTGATGGTAAAGAGAAATCCACATAATACATCAAAATTAATCATAAGTAGCTTTTCCAAAAGCTGAGGTAAATACTACTATATAGAAGGTGCACAGTGTCATACACATGAATATAAAACACCATCATGGTAACAAACATGACATTAAAGTAATGCAATAAACATTCACATAAAGAAGTCCAATACAGTAAAACTCCAATGGTCATAACTGATAAGAAAAACTAAGATGACACATTGTATAAAGGATTATTATTTGATTATTTTATGTAAAATACAGTAAAAAAAGCAATATTGAAATATTAATACAACTTAAAATAACTCATTGTAATATGTTGATTTGGTGCATTTAGCAGACGCTTTTATCCAAAGCGACTTACAAATGAGGACAATGGAAGCAATCAAAATCAATAAAAGAGCAATGAAATGCAAGTGCTATGACAAGTCAAGGTTTTTTTAATTTATATTTTTCCACAAAAAATATTAAGCAGCACTGTTTCAACTGTATTTTTGAAACTTTTTGTTCAAAAGCATTAAAACATTTAATTAAAAACTTCTAGCAAGAGCTGTGAAGTTTGGACTTGGATTGTGTAAATGTGGGCAAGCATGTGGGGATGTCCAAGTGTGTGTGTGTGTTATGCTACAGAAGGGGTAGCTGAGTGCAGTGCACAGAAAGCTAATTTTGGCCACTGCTCTCATTTCACAGGGCTAATGAAGCAACTGAAAAATCAGCTGAGGAAATAAATTGCGAAACTCAAATCAGAAGTTGCCATCGAACTAAAATGATATTACTTCAACAGATTGAACACTTTCAAATTGTCAAAATAAGCAAACCATAATAACACCATAGTAATGTCCTCATTTGTACCAATCAGGTTGTGAACGTATCACTATGCCTTTAGGTTCGCTGTCAAAAATGCCAATGTGAACGCTAAGCGGACCAGGAACCAATGTATCATTTTTCTTTTTGGTCCGGACCAAATGAACCAAACGAACCGAACTACAAGTGTGAACACACCTTAAAGCTTTAGCTGTGTGCAGTGAAGAGCCTGCAGTTATTGCATGTGAGCTAATGTTGGAAAAGTTTTCATGAACTTTCTGTGAATACCAAGCACAAATATTGCCAGACAGCTCTGCTTAGCAGCTGCATCAAGGGATAAGAAAATGTGTTCGCAATGACATCAGCTCCTTCCTACAGACAGCAGTAGTGTGGGCTGGGGGGATGGGAGCCGTGGGATTCATGGAAAGAAGGGAGTAGCTGATACTCTCACAAAACAGTTGACGATGACAAGTTGCCAGGCATCTCCTCAACTCTGGCTAATGATGATGTTTCCCAAACAGCAACTAGAACTAAACCAAACTTAATGTCAGAACTGCAGCAGAATTAAACTAAGACTGCTGGGGTTTTAATGTTTTTGTCTCATCACTTCGGCTGGACGGGGCATCACAATCTGGTAAGGGGCGTAACATTTCCGTCACATGCTTGAGGTATTCAGCCAATCACAATGCACTGGATAGCTGGCCAATCACAGCACACCTTGCTTTTCAGACCGATGAGCTTTGTAAAAATCGACGCGTTTCAGAAAGGCGGGACATAGAGGAGAAACAATAATGTACAGTATGTGGAAAATAATGTGTTTTTTGAACCTTAAACCGCATAAACACATTTCATTACACCAAATACACAAAATAATGTTCTTTTTAGCAACATCATATGACCCCTTTAACTAAAGAACTACTGAATGCACCTTTAAGACACTGTGCTCAAATTAACAAATTAACCTTACAAATTCAGATTGCTGGACAAAGAACAGAAATACGATTTTAAACTTAACTTCATTTCTATTATTGTCCCTTAGCTGGCTTCTCTTGGTTGGTTCTGAAAAAAATATTTTGGCAAGAACATGCAGTACAAATCCTGGACAAGTGATGAAACTGAGTGGAAGACCACAGCATGGTGTGTAAGTGCTCTTTAAGCTCTAGTGTCTGAACTGTGTTTTGAGGTTCACTGCAAAACTATCTTATTCACAAAATTAAAAGTACAGAAAGAGCATGTCAATTAGGTTCAAACAATCTTTTATTTTGTGCTTTTCAGTTCTGTAAAAAAAACATTAACACCCATGCGTTATGGTGGGTGATTGATGGCTTGTAACAAATGCACTCCTTCTAACGATCAAGACACAAGCTGACTCATTTTCCAACTTCACATCTTCAACTCTTCAGTCTGCCTACTTAATGCGGACACCTTATAAAACACATTTCCACCTCATTCTTTGCAACTTCAATGAACTCCTCAGGCCAAAACAACTAATGAGGGGATGGTTATTAAAGTGGGTCATTTGGGAATAACAGATTCATAGGCCTATACCATAATACAAAATAAAAAAACATAATAAATCAGTGTGAATCTGTGAATAGAGCCAAATTAGCTTGCTACTGCTACAGCCTTTTGACTGTACCCGATGCCTCTTTTTTCAAGCAAAATGGAACAGCAGTGCTCAGAAAGAACGGATGCAAAGACTCTAAAAACATAAAGGGATTCCTTGCGAAATTCATGAGTAACATTAGTAAAGGCGGAGTTGGCAGGTGTACTCAGTGTAAAGATGCTTAGTTTGGCATCTAGCCTGGAGTTGGCATAAGTGGGAACATTTGAAATCCTTCTTTGTTTCAACCGACTTTTTTCTTATTTTGGAAAAGTGCCATGTTTATAGTCCTTGCATTTGTCAGAGAACTTTTCTGCATCATCCTGCAGTGCGAGGGAGTTATTTTGATTGTCAGGAAAAAGAAGGGGTGGTAAAGCTGCTTTGACAGTGTATAAAGAACAGTGGTCTAGCCACGTGAACATGACAAAGATCCTTTTAAGGGTTGTCCTATCTGGTATAAACAGAACTGTGCCTGGGTCCATTAAGACTTGTTGTTATTAGCATGTATTGTTTTCTTAGAAAATATATATTGGAGTATTATGCACTATTTTAGACTGTAAATATGAATACAATACCAATTACCTTACATTGCTGGATAGACACTTAATAGGGCTGTTCACACTTGTAAAAAATTATGCCCGTGCCATTTTAAACCCTGGGAAAATTGACTCCTAGGTTATTGTGTTTCATATTTCACACTACTCACAATTAACCTGGGGTTGAAAATGAATCCTGGGTATTCATAATCCGACATTTCACACTATATATTTCTAAAACACGGTCTACTATATATTGCTAAACCGCTTCAAATTACATGTGTGAAATGTTCATCTACCCAGTTTTAAAAGCAGAGTTTACAACAAAAATAACCCAGGATTAAGCACAGTGTGAAAAGCTTTAAAGTTTAGTGTGTCCAAATCCATAAATGAACAGAGAACTGGCTACATACTGGTTATCAGATTATTGTTTCCTAGAAAACTAATTATGGCCCAAGAATGAATCATACAATCTGATAAGGCTCTGAGATGTTTGGCAATGGTTCTTCTGTACATGGACCCAACCATACTTACCATCCTCGCCGTATTGGTCATAGATGACTCTCTTCTTTGGGTCACTCAGAACCTCATAAGCCTCTGCTATCTCTTTAAACTTCTCTTCAGCATTGGGATCCTTGTTTTTGTCTGGATGGAACTTTAGGGCCATCCTTCTGTAGGCCTTTTTGATTTCATCTTCATTAGAGCCTGAAGTTATGCCAAGGGTCTTATAGTAATCCTTCCCCATGGCTTTGATTTACAGACAGAGTCCTTCCAGGACGACCAAACTTTCTACAAAACAACGATGAAAACAAGCAAGGTAAATAATAAAGTAATAAAAATGCATTCAGGTTATATTGAATTTGTTTATTTTGTTATGTCAACATAAAAAATAATTTTCATTCCAGCAGAAATCGCTTGTCTCCTCCTCTTTTGGAACTATTTGTATCGACGGTCGGGGCAGAAATATGCAAATGAATTGGCCAATTTGTGTTTTAAACGTAAATGACTTGATAATAATTCCTTATTTATTTATCTGTTAAGTAAACTTCTGCTCTTGTAATATTACTTGTGCTGCAATAAGTGCTCACGATGTTCTTACGAGAGATGCAGTAGCCAAAAATAAAACACCGCAATATTCTACAATTATCTCACAGTGGCCAAGAAAGATTTCAGTGTGTCACAGCATCGATAACAAGATGTATTTGAAATGAAATGGTATGGATAGCGCTGAGAACAGATCCTGATCTTCTGAGCGCGTCGTTTGGGCGGCACTGCAGACACAGCTCGAGAAACACTAACAAAGACTTGATGTTCAGCATATTATACAGAGCAGTTTCCACTTACACACAAACAAACATGAATTTAAAAGAACCTCTTTTCCGTTTGACTGAAAACGGCTCTGTTTAACACCATCCACTGTGTTCGACGAGGTTCACTAAAGCTCACCGGTTATGTCTGCAGAACAATGATGTCGGTTTGCCGCATCCGACAGGAAATCCTCATCATCGCTAAATCAAGCCCTCTGAGGTCTCCCGGTATTCCTCTCCGGTATTAATGATGTCATGGTGACCAGCAATGAACAAATAACGGACGACTGGGGACTGAGTGATATCTGACTGTCGTCAGTTAGACAAGCCTGACCTCTTTATGTGTTCTTCGCATAAAAACAGATTTTTGGATTATCCGCGTCTGCACCAGCATGCAGCTGTAAAGGTATAGGCTCTCTGCAGGATGTGCACACCAGGGTGCGATTAAACATCGTCCTTAAATTAGACGCAAGCAGAGATGAAATCAAGACCGGCTGTGTCTCAAAATCTTCTGAGCCGTCTAAGCAGCAGGCAGCTTGAGAAACACGCACTTTTATAAAAGTAAAGATTACCATACAAATTAAAAAGCCTGATGCTGATTACAGTCTATGGCCTGCTATTAGGATATATTAGGTTATCGTATCAATATAAATCATTACTATTAATTGTAAATCGACACCGTTTGTTTATAATAATTCTCGGTGGGCTACTCAAGTTGTCAAATTCCGTTGAGACGCTTTTAAAAACAGACTATAGCCTCTAAAATCTCTTACGGTAAAGGATAAAGATGCCAATCGGATGCACACGTGTGTTCCAGTTGTATTTTTGAAGGTACCCGGTATTCCTCTCCGGTATTAATGATGTCATGGTGACCAGCAATGAACAAATAACGGACGACTGGGGACTGAGTGATATCTGACTGTCGTCAGTTAGACAAGCCTGACCTCTTTATGTGTTCTTCGCATAAAAACAGATTTTTGGATTATCCGCGTCTGCACCAGCATGCAGCTGTAAAGGTATAGGCTCTCTGCAGGATGTGCACACCAGGGTGCGATTAAACATCGTCCTTAAATTAGACGCAAGCAGAGATGAAATCAAGACCGGCTGTCTCAAAATCTTCTGAGCCGTCTAAGCAGCAGGCAGCTTGAGAAACACGCACTTTTATAAAAGTAAAGATTACCATAAAAATTTAAAAGCCTGATGCTGATTACAGTCTATGACCTGCTATTAGGATATATTAGGTTATCGTATCAATATAAATCATTACTATTAATTGTAAATCGACACCGTTTGTTTATAATAATTCTCGGTGGGCTACTCAAGTTGTCAAATTCCGTTGAGACGCTTTTAAAAACAGACTATAGCCTCTAAAATCTCTTACGGTAAAGGATAAAGATGCCAATCGGATGCACACGTGTGTTCCAGTTGTATTTTTGAAGGTATACAAAATTGAAAACAGAGCTTACCGTATCAAAGTATCCTTTAGCTGTCTGCCGGTTAGAGCTGCATGACATTCTACTCCATTCCGTTAACCACGCCCCTAATTTACATATGACCCACCCCGTACACGCCACAAATAAATCACTCCAGTACAAAACGCCGGACCACCTCCAAAATCATAACTGACTTGGGGTGCATTTTAGGTATCTGACAAAATGCATAAAAAAAAATTAGAGTAAGTAGTCTATTTTTGTCTGTATACAAACATACACGTATACAAATATATTTTATATTACACAAATACATTTTATATGATTGTGTGTGTTAGTGAGTGTGCTTTTAACCTGGAGAAACATGGTGTATGTGACAAATGAAAACTTTGATTTTGAGAAAGGTAGAGAGTGTATAAAGTCGCATAGTCTAATGGAGCATCAGTGATTTCTATTGTTTATGCCCCTCTTCATTTCCCAGGATGTGCTCTTCACTCGTACAGAACCCAGGCAGTCATGTCTGAAGGACTAAGTGGGATCGATACAGCTGTCTGGCCCTGGATCAGGTTTTACATTAACATGGCAGGGGACAAACTCTCCACTGATGTCTGGAAATTTACTCCTCTTAGGTCACTCCACAGCCTAAAGGAATTTCTACATTCAGCCTGCTTTGTGTACAGACTCTATTGAGGAAGGCTATTATATATTATAATGACAGTTTCTGGATGTTTTTAAAACGAGATATTTAAGTCAGTCCATGTAATGCAATGCTCTAAGAATTGGGCATAGATTTGTACTTTATGTGATGTAACCACCTTATGACGTGGTTAGAGAATTTATATTATTTAGTTATTTAAAAAAAATGGCAGGTGGGTAAATGACGACAGAATTTTCATATTTTGTGGATGAACTATTATTTGAATATTTTATTATTAGACATATTTCTAAGGAGGGAATCATAATTTGTTATTTTTGGGTGGTTCTCGTTATCTATAAAAATAATCAATGTTAATTAAAGTTTAAATATGAATTATATAATAATAAGTCAGTCTTTTTAATATCTGAACAGCAAAAACAATATCTATATGTAAAACATACTGTATGTAAAATATGTTTGAATGAATCGATTATGTAAACAAACATATAAAATGATATAACAGTATAGGCTACTTTTACCTCAACATTTTTTTGGGATAACAAACCTTGTCTATTAATATGCAGATGAGTCATACTAAATCCAGCGTCATGCTATATCCCATTTATTAGTTTATTTGAGGCAAATGTCATTACAAAATCCTCATGTCTTTCTTGTTAGCTCACATCTTTAAATAGACAGAAATGAAGAGCAGGCTGAAAGAGGTGGACTGATGGGAATAAGTGCACCTGAATCATCACAGCACTTGAGTGTGGAGGAGAAATGTAAATGATTGAGTGACTCAGAACCTCCCACAGGTGACAACTTAAGTGCAGTGACTTAACAGTCATTTAACCCCTTATGTGCAGTATGAGAAGATGGCTCGGAGTTAAATATTTGTTTTTATTATTATTATTATTATTATTATTTGATTGCACGTTGTAATGGCAGTTAAGGATACAACACAGGTGAAGTTCACTCGTCACGTAGTTTATTTGAGGCAAATGTCATTACAAAATCCTCATGTCTTTCTTGTTAGCTCACATCTTTAAATAGACAGAAATGAAGAGCAGGCTGAAAGAGGTGGACTGATGGGAATAAGTGCACCTGAATCATCACAGCACTTGAGTGTGGAGGAGAAATGTAAATGATTGAGTGACTCAGAACCTCCCACAGGTGACAACTTAAGTGCAGTGACTTAACAGTCATTTAACCCCTTATGTGCAGTATGAGAAGATGGCTCGGAGTTAAATATTTGTTTTTATTATTATTATTATTATTATTTGATTGCACGTTGTAATGGCAGTTAAGGATACAACACAGGTGAAGTTCACTCGTCACAAGAACATTTTCTGTCATGGAAGACCCGGTCAGTTCAGGACTCCCCTAAAGGCGCCACATCATCCAGAAATACCCCCAAACCACAGCTAGATAAGCATCTTCCTGGTAACCGGCCCTACAGACTGTACCTCCACTGTCCATCCACCTCTTCAGCTCTCCACATGACTAAACGACTAAATGACCTAATAAACAAATAAATAAATAAAATCCCACACACATGTCTAACTGAATGATTTCTTGCGCTGCAGGGGTGGCATATACAAGTGGAGGCTTTCTTTTGTTAAAAACTATTTTTCTCTGGATACAATAGGATACAATGCATGTCATTCTGTGGTCACGCATAGTGGGAACACCGTCTGTACAAATGGGGAGCAGAGAGAGAGAGCGAGACAGCACACAGTGTTTAAACACCGGTAACAGAACAAATTTCACACACAAAATGTACTTCCACACCAGACAGCATAATGGTAGCCATGACAACTGGACCCAGAGCTAGACAGTGCGTCTATATCTCTACGCCTCTGTCAGAGTCTTCTGATACCTCTGACATCTGTCAATACAGAACAATATGAAACAAAAGTCTGTTTCATTAGGGAGATTAGAGATGACAGTTTAGTGTAATTGATGATGTTCTCTGCTGTAGGTTAACTACATTTCATTAACTCTTAAAGGGACAGTCTAGCCAAAAATGAAACATCTGTCAGCTTTTCTCATCATCATGTTCCAAATCCATATGGCTTTCTTTCTACACTGGAACACAAAAAGGAGTTATTTAGTAGAATGTCCAAGCTGCTTTTTTCCATAAAGATGAATAGTGTCCACTAGGGGTATAACGGTTCAAATTACTCGCGGTTCAGTTTATGTCAGGGTTTCAACACCCTCTTTCAACATCATGGCATAAGGCACTCACATTGAGCAAAGAGTGACTGGTTTGTCCATTTTTTTTTGTTCAACGCCATTGTTGTAATGTATTGGGAAGCCAGAATACGACAGAAACATACATTAGCTCAACTCAGTCTGTTTTACGTGTTGTTATATTTAGATGCATTTTCAGATTTAAGTTCAACCATGGTGTAAGTGCTTGCCAAACCGTGGGTGGATAATGGTACGGTTCGATTTTTTACTGAGAACCATTACACCCCTAGAGTCCACAGCTATTCTTGGTCCAAAAAATTCCGAAAATAATTGTGAGGACAGAATTAGCATTTTTTTGTGCCATTTTATTCTCATAGTCCAAACTATCCTTATTATTTAAATCAGCCAATCAATAACCTTAATGTTATTCTGAATAAGCTGAATAACAATCTTAAAAACATTTAAAATAAACAAACTCTTATGTAAATATTATAATACTTTATTTAAATTGACCAGTCAATAAACTATTAAAATAAATCCTATTTAACTAATGTAAATATCTAATATTTTCTGAGAAGAGATGTAACACTTGCACAAAAAAAATACTTTTTGACATTTGTGAAGTAGCTAGTCATCACTCAGTTCTGTGGGCTGCAGACCTAAAGGTTAATATGACATCTATTAGCATGATTCAGCTGAAAATGTGGTGCCGCAGGGACTTAGAGACTCTCGTCCCTGTTGTTATCAAGCCAATGAGAAATAAACACAAATACAAAATCCTGCTTGTTTTTAAGCCGGCAGATGTGACTGAAATCTGTTCACCGCAGATGTTCAGAAACGAGCCGATGACACAACTGGTGCTATCATTGATGCTGGTATTTTCCAGCTGTAAATATAAGTGTGCAACAGAATATCTGTTTCAAAATACATTTATAGTAGAACATTCTGTTTCTATGAGGTGAGTGTCTGCTCATATAACAAATTGTGATGGAGACCCCCTTATTTGATGGCTCAGGGATTTATGAAATCAAACGGTCATAGCATGTATATGTTATTAAGTGTCACTTCTTCATGCTATACAGTACTCATCAGGTAATTTGACTGTATACTTAACACCAGGTTATATAATATAGCATACTTAACACCAGGTTATATAGTAACTAATATACTCAAGAATGTAGACAAGAAAGTATATATACAGATGCATCTAAAAAAATTAGAATATCGTGAAAAAGTAAAAATTTTTGTAACTTATTTCAAAAAATGAAAATTTCATATTTTCTAGATTCATTACATGTAAAGCAAAATATTTCAAAAGTTTCTTTTTTGGTTTAATTTTGATGATTAGAGCTTACAGCTCATGAAAGTCAAAAATCCAGTATCTCAAAATATTAGAATATTTCCTAAGATCAATCAAAAAAAGGATTTGCAAAACAGAAAAGTTCAAGTTCTTTAAAGTATGTTCATTTAAGCACTCAATACTTGGTCGGGGCTCCTTAAGCACAGTAATATCATGGTCAGCAAACCACTTGGAAGTGGTTTTGGCACTGTGGGCAGGTGCTAAAATCCTGCTGGAAAAGGAAATCAGCATCTGCATAAAGCTTGTCAGCAGCCGGAAGCATAAAGTGCTCCAAAATCTCCTGGTAGATGGCTGCATTGACTTTGGACTTGATAAAACACAATGGACCAACACCAGCAGACGTCACGGCACCCCAAATCATCACTGACTTCGGAAACTTCACACTGGACTTCAAGCAGCTTGGATTCTGTGCCTCTCCATCCTTCCTCCAGACTCCAGACCTTGATTTCCAAATGAAATGCAAAATTTACTTTTATCTGAATTGAGGACTTTGGACCACTGTGCAACAGTCCAGTTCTTTTTCTCCTTAGCCCAGGTAAGATGCTTCTGATGTTGTTTCTGTTTCAGAAGTGGCTTGGTAGCCCTTTTCCTGAAGACGTCTGAGCGTGGAGACTCTTGATGCACTGACTCCAGCTTCAGTCCACTCCTTGTAAAACTCTCCCAAGTGTTTAAATCGGCTTTGCTTGACAGTATTCTCAAGCTTGCGGTCATCTCTGTTGCTTGTGCACCTGTTCCTGCCCAATTTCTTCCTTCCAGTCAACTTTGCATTTAATATGCTTTGATACAGCACTCTGTGAACAGCCACCGCTTTCAGTAATGACCTTCTGTGACTTACCCTCTCTGTGGAGGGTGTCAATGATTGTCTTCTGGATCATTGCCAAGTCAGCAGTCTTCCCCATTATTGTGGTTTCAAAGAACAAGAGATACCCGGAATTTGGATGGTCATTAAATGACACTCAAATGTAAATATTCTAATATTTTGAGATACTGGATGTTTGACTTTTATGAGCTTTTTATGAGTTCTAATCATCAAAATTAAAACTTAAAAAAACTTTTGAAATGTTTTACTTTACATGTAATGAATCTAGAATATATGAAAGTTTCACTTTTTGAAATAAGTTACAAAAAAAGATAACTTTTTCATGATATTCAAATTTTTTTAGATGCACTTGTGTATATATATATATATATATATAGTGTCATAGTAGAGTGGACGTCCCATAATTGCTAATGGAAATTCTCAGCCATGTTCTCGCTCTCATGGCATTTTCCCTCTGATAAAACAGCACGATGACTCAGACTCTCTGCTCTTGTTCAGGCTCACTGGACTGCACTGCTTTTCCAACACTGTAAAACTTTTATTCAATACGCTCATAAGATAATCAGTGAGAAACAAGTCTACAGGGTTTAATACCCATAGAAGGAAGATTTTTCTTAACAAAGCGTCTCAGAATTAGTAATGGAAATATGGTAACTAATGTTGGCTGATATATTAAAAGAGATCCATCACTAACAACTGGCAGTTAATCCTCATAAGTCATGTGTTTCATTAGTGATGTATTGCAGATAGGATCTCCCGTGTAAGTGCAATGCACCGCCAGCACTCGCCCAGTTTTCAGCGCAGGATTTATTGGTTCTATAATATACTGGGCTATTTACCAGTCAAATGTCTTTATATGTCTCTACAACATATGATTCTGAGTATATGTCAGAAGAACCCCAATAATGGCCTTTACAAGTGTTCAAACATAATAGCAAATATTCATATCACAATTTTCACCCTAAGCCAAAAAAGGCCCAAATTCAGTTGTTAAGAGGCTAATGAATGTTTATACAGGGGCCAAACTCTGTATCCGCGGTGTCAGACATCTTTCAATGCCACAGGCTTGGTCTAAAATGGCTGAAAGAGTTTATGGCTGTTCAAACTACAGCACAGAGTATCTTTGGGTTAGGACGAGGTCAGCTTATTCAAGTCTCAGCTGCTTGTACCTCAGACAGCCGCACAGACTCACAGCCCTTTAGCGCTGCTGCTTGCCTTCACCACTAACACACTCTAGAGAGAAGGGAAAAGGACCAGTGAGCCTCTTATACTGTAGCCCTGGTGTATTACAAACACTGAAGACTAGCCAGACAGCCAGAGGAAGAAGGAAAACTAACTGTATCACAAGATAAAATTTGAGCTTTTTACATTATTCCAGTCTTTAGTGTCACATGATCCTTCAGAAATCATTCTATGCTGATTTGCTGTTTAAGAAACATAACCACAATAAAATTGTAAATCATTAAGCTTAGTAATAAGCATTTAAACTTCTTAGAAGGTGTCTGTCTATATTCAAAGTTTCATCAAAATATTCATTCTGCTGAAAATTCAATTTGGCATCACAGGAGTAAAGTATATTGGTCACACTTTATTTTAAGTATTAACAAACCATTAACCATTAAAATAGTTAATGATATAGTTGTTAAGTTTAGGTATTAGGTAGGATTAAGAATGTAGAATATGGTCATGCAGAATATGTGCTTTAATAAACAGCAAAATATAGGCATGCTAATAAGCAACTTGATAATAGTAAGAAGTGGTCCCTAAAGGTTATAGGGTTACTAAAGTGTTACCAGTATATTTTACAGTTTAATCAAATAAATGCAGCCTTGGTTATGAAAAAAACAAATACAATTTTACTGAACCCAAACAATTGAATGGTTGTGTAAAATGTGTTTATTAATTCAGTTTAAAAAATTTTAGTTTTTGTGTGAGCACTTAGTAATATGTTGCACTGTTGTTGACCGGTGGTGCTGCCCTTACTAAACCTAGAATAAGTCGTAATTTACCCTTCATAAAAAATGGTTTTGATATAAGGCTGCAGAGCATAGCTACACGACTGGGCAAATAAATAAATAAATAAAGTGAGATATGTAATTAAATGTGGTAGACTCTGGGAGAAGCGTCAGAATTCCGTCTGGCACTGCATTAGATATAAGCTTCACAAGTTGATGGCTCACGGTCAGATCACCATAAGCTGCTATTCATTTGTATCAACATGCTTTTGAGGATGAAAACATCTTTGGGTTATAGCAAACTTCAAATCTTACATGTTAACACTAGTGCCAAGACATAGGGACTTGATGCAGAACTCACAGCATATGCATTTTTTTATTCTCTTCTGTTTACTTCTTTAATATGTGCATGCATGCTGCTGCAAAGCTACTATTCACAGATACTCCAGCGTGTCGTTCTGGCTCAGATGTGACAGAATGTATAAACAACGAAACATAAGAAAAAACACTGGCATGCCACATCTCAGTCTCCCATCTGCTGTCTGGGTACCCTGATAACACTGCCTCTATACCATCTATTAAAGTGGACGAGATCGCCATGGCAACTGCCATATCCTGGGATGTGAATTCTGTCTTACACTTGTCACAGCCTAAGAAGGGTAAGACTGACCGATACTATTTTGTCATATTAATATGGCCTTTACTTGTAGGAGTTCTAAGAGTTTTGGGGGCAACACTGCAGATAAATGTTTTTTTTTGGCAATACTACGATACTTCTCAAAAACCTTGATTTAAAAGCAAGAAACTTTTCACATGAGGAAACCACATACACACTTTTCCTTTGATTTTAGGTATTATTGACTTTGATTATCATTTACATTTTCATGTACACAACATATAATTTGACACTGTATTTTGTAACGGATGACAGAAGATCAATTATGGCACAAGAGGAAAAAAATATTGCACTGAAAACAACAAGGCAAGTCGTGTTCTATACAACATTAGACTCCTTTCCACTGTACATTTATATAAATGTCCAGGTTACTTCAATGGTTCAGTGTTTTTTTTTTTTCAACAGCATGACAGTCATTAACAATATGCACATCATGTTAATTTTATTTTTAAGCACATATGTTTGCTTGGGGAGCATCTAAACAGTTATAATTATCACAAATTCAATGCACAATATGTTCATGCTGCAGTATTATGAAAACCAGTGAATGCTGTGGTATGAGGAAGTATAGAAAATGACCTCTGACTGTATTATAAAAGCATGCAGTGAATCCCCAGAAGGGCTGACCTATAATCTCAAGTCAATAAAACTACAACCAAATATAGCCATACCATGCTGGCAATAGTGCAGCACAGAAATAGATTTTCTCTAATTCAAATGAATATTAGTTCTGAAATTAGCACTATGCATCTAAGCAAATACAGCAGCAAGCACATTCATTCAATTTCATATGCCTATATAATATAATACCATCCATCTTGCTGTGGAGCAACAGAAATATTTAAAAAGAGGAAAGGACTGTGTGATGTCAATTGTGAACATTCTTTAAGAGAGAACTTCTGTTAAGAAAAAGAACTAAGTGCACTTGTCAGGCAGATCACATGCTGGAGCTATTCATCTTGTTTGGAAATTGCTGGCCTCCATACAAATAATAAATGCAGTGAGAAAGATATTAGTCTCTAAAAAATTCACTTCTTCACATTGAAATGTAGATGTCCAGCCATTATCGGTTTATTTGCATGAGCTCATAAAGAATGTACTTTGTAAAAAGCACATTACAAAAACATCTATTGTTAAGAAAATGAAACTGAAATCAAAAATATTTTGTAAATTCACCGGAATTTTTGTTGTGCAAATCAATCAAAATCATGCTATGAGGTATATTTACACTGCGACTCAGTGAATTATCATCAGATTTCACCAAAACTCCCCCCCAACATGGGAGGTCTAAAACATCCTCATACATATATCATAAAATCCTCACCACTCTAAAATAAATTATGTAAATTAATATAATATTGTAATGAGACCATGAACTGTGTGGACATGTTTGTTTGTGTGTTATTTCTGGTGTGAGACACAAAAGAATTTGGATACTTTAAAGCAGTGTTTCCCAACCTTTCTTTAGTCGCTGCACCCTTTGGAAATTTTAACAAATTTGTGGCACCCTACAAAATTAATTTTGTCACAATATTTGAATTTCTAACTTCGATATGATACTTTGAAAAGTATAGATATTCGGTACAGCAGGGTAGGACTGCAGAATATACTGTCATACAGATATTTTTAATATTATAAAAAAAAATTGTCCATCAATGGTGACAATCAGTAGATTAATTTCTAATGAAAAGACCAATTTATATGACAGATTTTAATGTAGATTTTAAATTTTGTTGCAGTAGCACGAGATAGCTTGATCTAAAACTTTGAATTGAATAAAAAATGACAAGGAGGCTAAGCAGTTAATAATAAAATAAGAACAAATAAAGAAATTACTAATGATAGCACAAATAAAAAATAACGATAGGCCTACAAATTAAATAAATTGCTTTTTAGTTTTTCAGGTAGGTCTAACACACAGTAGGGCTATTAAGAGTTTTTTATTTTTTTTACCAATTATCCAAATAATGCTTAATCCTAGAAAGCTATTATTATCAGAACATGTGAGCATAACGGTTAGCAGATCAATGAATGAGAGGGCAGCGTTACGAGAGTTGCCCATTTACCACACCTTGATACAACACAGTAGGGCTATTGCAGACAGAAACAATACTGTACTACATCCATGTTTCCTGTCAGCTTGATTTTTGAGTGGACTTTACTGTTCCGATGAGCATGAACGGTATACGAGTGGAGCGACTGAGCGGAGCACACACACATAGAGCGGGATAATACGCAGAGCGTCACACCACGTGAAAGTGAAACCTGAGCGGTGAACTCATTTTCGGCATCTGGAATTTCAGTGCATCTCTAATTATTGGCGACATCAGAAATGGATATTATATAATAGATGCTTTTTTGAACATGTTAGCAATTTAAAAATATTAAAAATTTATTTTTTACACGCTACCCCTGCTCTCGACAGATGGCACCCCGGTTGGGAAACACTGCTTTAAAGGATGCATTTTAAGAAAAAAGAGGGAAAACTGTGATATTACTGTGAGAAAAAAGAAAATTAGTGTAACCGTTTTATAACCTTATGCACAGTTTAAAAAATGACCACTGCTTCAGTGTCTAAACCCATGATTTAATGCATTCCTCCCAATTCTGTCCTTTCCCAGAAAACAGCTTCATCTCACCTGGAGTTAGATCCGTTCTCCAGTAGTTTTTGGTGGGCTTCACAGAGCTTGACAGCAGGAGTCGACTCTTGTTTTGAGGTTATGGCTAACGGATGATGTCTAGGTAATTAAGGTCAGTGTAGAGTGCATTGACTAGCAGGGTCAAAAGACGGTTGCTGTCACGCAGGCCATGATCTGGGTACTTGATGAACTGAATGGCCTGGTTCACAGACACATGCAGCTCTGAATACTGCTTATTACTCGGCATCTGCTCCAGTACCGATAAGGCCTGAAAAAAGAGAGCAGTCATTCAAGGTACAGCACGATTTACCAGAAATTTGTTTGTACTATAACAAATTATCATCAAATATCTAAAACATATCCACATCTAACCATCTATTTTTTCGAAATTTCAATTCAATTTTTTAAATAAAAAAATTCACTAAAAAACAGAAAAGTTTACCTGTTGGGCTTTAGCTGAGAGCTGCAGCTCGGTGCCTGGATGAAGACGCAGCTGATTCTCTGAGGGCACCTGGACCAGCAGAAATGCTGACATGCTGCGCGCCACAACCCGAAACCTGAAACACAGGAAGAACAGAAATTGTGAGGCATGCAATTCACACAATTTACCTTTCATGTCCCTTTCACTTCTGATCTGGACATCAAAACAACACTGTTTTAGCAGTTTCTCAATCTTCTCTCACCTGCTAGAAAGTGGGGATTTCCTCCCAAGGCCTATGGCTCCCAAGATGCCTGAGTTCAGTCTTTCCTCACTGAGCTGGGCTAGACGGTTCTGGAATGCTATTAAGGTGAGAATCAGAGTATCAAGTGCGCAGGTGTCATCTTGATCCACCTGGATCTGCAGAAGCTCCAACAATTTATGCCACCATAAAAACAGCTTTGCCTCATCAGGTGGACCACTGCAGGAAGAGATGACACACTCCCTTAGGCCACAAATACTCAGACAATAAGCACTAAAAATAAAAAGAATGTTATTTACTAACTCTGCAATCCTACACTACTTCCAGTTTGTGTTTCTGTGTGCGTCCTTCAGCATTTACACTACCGTTCAAAAGTTTGGGATCAGTAAGATTTTGAATATTTTTTACCGAAGTTTCTTGTGCAGAATAAACCCTGTTATTTTGTGAAATATTATTGCAATTTAAAATAACCGTTTTTATTCTAATATACTTTAAAATGTAATGTATTCCTGTGATGTAAAGCTGAATTTTCAGCATCATTACTCCAGTCTTCAGTGTCACATGATCCTTCAGAAATCATTTTAATATGCTGATTTATTATCAATGATGGATAAAACATGTTTTATGGAACCTGTGTTCCTTTTTCAGGATTCTTTTATGAATAATAAAAAAAACAGAATTTATTCAAAATGGAAATCTTGTGTTACAATATACACTACCAAAAGTTTGGAGTCAGTAATTGGTTTTCTTTCTTTTTTGAAAGTAATTAATACTTTTATTCAGCAAGGATGTGTTAAATGGATAAAAAGTGAGAGCAAATACTCATATTGTTAGAAAAGATTTTAATTTTAAATAAATGCTGTTCTTTTTTTTTACTTTTTATTCATAAAAGAATCCAGAAAAAAGTATCAGTTTCCAAAACAAAAACAAAAAACAAAACAAAACATGAAGCAGCACTGTTTCCAGCACTGATGATAAATCAGCATATTATAATGATTTCTGAAGGATCATGTGACACTGAAGACTGGAGTAATGATGCTGAAAATTCAGCTTTGATCACAGAAATAAATTATACTTTAAAGTATTTTAAAACAGAAAACCAATAATATACAAATAATATCTCACAATATTACAGTTTTTTCTGTATTTTTTTCTGTATTTTGGATCAAATAAATACAGCCTTGATGAGCACAAGAGACTCCATTAAAAAACATGAAAAATCTTACTGATCCCAAACTTTTGAACGGCAGTGTATATATGTGATAAAGTGTATGTTACCTAGGGAAGACCTGGCTGATCCATGAGCTGAGCCGCACTAAGGTCTTCTTCTCATTCAGGAGGGTTTGCTCCAGGTTCAGCCTCTGGAGGATGTAGACGTACAGGGTGAGATAACTGCCCAGGTTCAGGCTTTCCTGAATGAAGTCCTCAACAGTCAGTTCAGGAACCTGAAGAGAGACAAGGATGGGCCCCCAACCAGAGTATTGATCAGCACATCCACCTGAAAGAAGCACACAACATATTACTAGAAGTTGTGGACAGATTTATAAGATATTAAAACTCACTGTACTCTATAATGGCTCCATGCAAATGTTTTGATTCAGCCCAGATATTTGCTTTTATGGTGCTTACAGTGTGATTAGGGAGAGGAATAATTCCTAAAGGCTTACGCAGACAGACCATTTCAAATCTGTGACTAAGTCCAGAACAAGTACGAGCTTTATTACCATCAGTGAAGTAGGAGAGAATACAGGCCTCAGTGGTTCGTGTCATATGACGCACTGAGGCCAAGCATCTGCATGCAGCGGTTAGCAGGGGGAGAACCAAAGGACCCCGAGCTCGCTTTTCCACCCAGGAGTGGAGTTTAGTCCCGAGTCCCTCTGCTGTAGATATGCCAGCTTCATTCAGCAGAGTCAGCATCTCCGCAAACAGACTGCAGGTGGCCATGTGCCGCTGCTGGAGGTCTGTCTCTGAACATGAGAATGAGATACATTAAAATTATACATTAAGTTCATTCAGCATAAAGAGAGCTACTGTTACTGCCTGTTTTGTTTTGTGTTAAGGGATTGTTCACACAAAAATTTAAATTCTGTCATTAATTACTCACCCTCGTGTCATTCCAAACCCGTCGTTCGGAACACAAATTGATATATTTGATGAAATCTGAGAGCTTTATGACCCTGCATAGACAGCAACACAACTGATATGTTCAAGGCCCAGAAACTTAGTAAGGACATTATTAAAATAGTCCATGTGACATCAGTGGTTCAACCTTTAGTGGTACTCTTGTAAAAGCATGTTGTGAAAGACTGACACAGAAGAGAAGAAATTGTTGAATAAAGTCATTATTTTTGTTTTCGTTGCTCACAAAATATTCTTGTACCTTCATAAAATTACGATTGAACCACTGGTGTCACATGGATTATTTTAACAATGCCCTTACTACCTTTCTGGGCATTGAACGTGGTAGTTGTGTTGCTGTGTCTATGCAGGGTCAGAAAGCTCTTGGATTTCATCAAAAATATCTTAGTTTGTGTACTGAAGACGAACGAAGGTCTTACAGGTTTGGAACAACATGTGGGTAAGTAATTAATTACAGAATTTTTATTTTTGTGTGAACTAACCCTTTAAGATGTTACTAATACTATTACAATATTACTATTTAGGACCTCTTTCAAAAACATAAAAAAATCTTGAATGAACAAATGAATGAACGAACGAACGAACGAACGAATGAATGAATGAATACTATTACAAACTACATTTGCATTTGGTTTGAAAACCGATTAAAATCAGATTCAGGTGGAGAATGGATAGTAAATAGACATGTTCCTCATCTGCTCCTGCATTTAATTCAGAAATGACTGCACAAGCTGCTCTATGATAGAATCCCCCAAAGAGCAAAAAACTCAATTCTTGAAATTCGTTTGCCGTGTATCCAAATAAAAGAATTACATGCTGAGATACTAGCAATCTTCTTTATTCCTATAAAGTGCAAAAAAGTGCTCAGTGCATGTTAAAATAATTGATGGATTCTATTATTGACTTGAAATCGTGATACATGTGAATGGAACCAAGCACAAGATCCTCCTTTTTTCATTTTTGACAAGCTGCTCTATACACACATATATGTTGTAAAAAATTAATATTTAGCATTCCTTAAAATGTCAAGGCAAGTTCATCGGAATACTCAAGAATGCAAATCAGTATATGGTATTTCAAATGTTTTTGGGAACAGATGCATATGTACAATCATACATTATTTGTTACAGTGTCTGTATCTTAACTCATTTCTTATTCTTTCCCCACTCTTGGCATTGTGCTGATGCCTTTGTCATTACTACTGCAACCAATATACTGGGTACAAACTGAACAAGCTGATATGACTTTGTCATATTCTAAATGACAATACAAAGAGTGAATCCGAAAGACTGAATCTAAAAAACAAACTGGAACTGTGTGCAGTGTGAACGTACTGAAACAAACAACTGCTTTCATTCTTATAAAATCCAGTGGTAAACAGAACTAAAAATTAATGTTATGCAATATTCTTGAAGGGCATGCTGAGGAACGTGACAAGAAAATTAATATGAAAGAGAAATTAAACATTTTCCTCACCAGGAGGGTTGAAAATGACAATGTACTCCAGTAATTTCTCCATTTCTGTCTCCAGAGATGCCAGACTGATGTTCCCATTCTGATCCAGAGAAGTCAGGAACTGCACCATTAAGTGAAGGAAGGCTTGGCACTTTAAAGTCATGTCCTGACAGTCACAGATCACACAACAGATACAAATCACTATGCTGTAAAAATGTAGTTTACAGTAATTTACAGTATTTGACAACAGTGTGTCATCTAACCTTGTGATGCAACATTTGTGTTTTCGTCCCAAATCCAGCAGCCATTCTAAGCAATTTGATGACGTGTTGTGAAGAAGTATCATGGCTCAGAACAAGGGATGCTGGGTAATGTGTGCTGACATAGCGTGTAACATTTTGATAAGAAGGAAAATCTACTAGGTGCCAAGGCAGAGAAGCTGATTGATCCAGGAGACTGAGAACAGAAGACTCCTGTAGAAGTAAATCATGGTAAATTAACCTCTAATAGGCCCTTATAGACGGTTAGGGTAAACAGGTGACCACTCACAGGTTTGCTGAGATCCTCTTTGGCCAGAAACACCATCAGATAGAGGACAGAGACCACCATCGTCTGAGCTGAGGGGCTTAGCTGTGGGCTGAGAGAGTCACTCAGTACACTGACCCAGTTCACCTCACACAGCAGCTCTCCCATAAACAGGAAACAACTCTTTGGGCTTCCCCTCTCGACCTGAACAGCACAAAAGTCAATCAATTTAGTGACAATCATCTATTAAAGTATCAGTATTTTCTTATAGTTACTAAAAGTAAGACAGAAGGATTAAAACCTGTCATCTTCACTAAATTATTTCTCAGACTACCTTGGAAGAGATTAAATATATGTATGCATTGCAACTGTTCAAAAGTTTGGTGTCGGTAAGATAAAAAAAAAAAAAAAGTTTACTGAAGGTTGCATTACATTGATCAAAGGTGACAGTAAGACTTATGTTACAAAATGTCTATTTCAAATAAATGCTGTTCTTTTGATCTTTCTATTCATTAAAGAATCCTAAACAAATATCTCACTGTTTAAAAATATTAAAGGGGTCATATGACGCGATTTCAAGTTTTCCTTTCTCTTTGAAGTGTTACAAGCTCTTGGTGCATAAAGAAGATCTGTAAAGTTGCAAAGACTAAAATCTCAAATCCAAAGAGATATTCTTTATAAAAGTTAAGAGTCAACCACGCCTACCTAAAATGGCTCGTTCTAACACGCCCCCACATATCTACGTCACTATGTGGAAATATTAGCATAATGCCGCCCAAATGTGCACACAAAGAAAGAAGGTGTGGTTTCAGGAACAGCAGTAGTGTTGATGCAGCCATGTCAGGGAGATGCTGTGTGTTTCAGTGCGAAAGCAAAAGCACTTTATTTGGCCTTCCGGAAGTAGATCAATTAGGAATCATTGGTTAAGATTTATTTACAACAGAACAGCACAACCCAGATGTTTGAATTTGTGCAATGCATTTTATGGACGACAGTTTTTTGAACCTAGAAGAGTACAAGGCTGGCTGTGAAGAAGCTGTGGCTATGATCAATATTCCCTTGATCTTTTGAAATAGCCTTTTTTAGCAGGAGAGTGAACTGCCTGTCAGAAATCATAGCACGTCAGCTGTCTTAACCGCGGCTTGTGTACTGCATCATCACTGTGTCTGTCACGCGACTCTGTTCGGGCGTGAACTGATGGTAAAACTAACGACATTTTTAACTGTCTTGATATTTACTTTGAAAGCTGAAGCTCGCGATTATGGTAAGGGGCGTTACATTTCCGACGCGTGCTTGTGGTGTTTGGCCAATCACAATGCACTGGGTCAGCTGTCCAATCGGAGCAGACTGCGCTTATCAAAGGAGGGGGCTTTGTTGAAAACTATGTGTTTGAGAGAGGCGGGGCATAGAGGACCTACAATAATGTACAGTATTTGAAAAATAATGTGTTTTTTGAACATTAAAGCATGTCAACATATACTGTTACACCAAATACACAAAATAATGATCTTTAAAATAGCATCATATGACCCCTTTAAGCAGTACAACTGTTTTCAACATTAATAATAATAAGGTATGTATGTTTTTTTTAGCACCACATCAACATATTGGAATGATTTCTAAAAGATCATGTGACACTGAAGACTGGAGTAATGGCTGCAGAACATTCAGTTTTGTCATCACAGGAATAAATTGCATTTTAAACTGTAATAAAATATAAAACAGATATTTTCCTGTCCCCAAATGTCTGGATGGTGGTGTATATAGGTCTAAATCTGGTTTTGAAACATTCTAGAGATCCTCAACCAAACACAGGCAATATATGTGATTTAAGGAGTTCTGTAAATCTCTCACATTAAAAAAATGATTCATTAGTGTCTGATCTGGATGCAGGTCCTTCCATGGCAAACGGCTGTACTCAGTGTGGTAGGTGTACAGCAGGTACTCTGGCATCTTGGGAGAGGTGCAGGTCTCACAGTAATGCATGAGATGAAACCACAGAGCTCCTCTTTGTCCTGGCAACAAGCGATCTGCACCAAAAACATGGATTCAAAATTACATACTGATCAAATGGATTTTGAACTGAATATGTATTTAAACAGCTGAAAAAAATAGTTGAATGAATCACGACATTTGTGTGTTGTCCTGTTCTCCAAGGATGTTCACCTTTAAATTTCTCATGCATAGTCTCCATCAAGCGTGCATATAAGCTCACTAAGCTCGCTGCAGCTGCGGCATCTGATTCAAGCCATGGAGAACAGCGAGGATGACTGTGACATACACAAGAGAGTCGTTACTCATCACTTCTGCCGTCAGTGTTTTAACAACCAAACTGCTGAGCCACATCAAAGCATACCTAGTGTTGTCAGTGTCAAGGACCAGAATCCACGGTTCAAACAGTTTGGCCATTTTTGCATGCAGGTTCTCAAGAGCTACATCAAGTAGAATTTAACATGAATTAATTTCATTATACAAATAGTTGCTATGCAGATATATACACTACTGTTCAAAAGTTTGGAGTCTTAAGATTATAATTTTTTTCTTCTTTTTTTTCAAATAAGTCTCTTATGCTCACCAAGACAGCATTTATTTGATCAAAAATACAGTAAAACAGTAATATTGTTTTAAAATGATTTCTATTTGAATACAATTTAAAAAGTAATTTATTGCTGTGATAGTAAAGTGATTGTGGAAACTGATAAATTTTTACTGAACATCTTACTGACACCAAACTTTTGTCTGGACTATAAGCATTTGGTTGCTACGCACAACAGAGAAATACAATTTTGTACCTTTGACCAGTCTTGGACTTCCTACTGGTTCTTTGCTGCAATTGTTTAGCTCCAGATCCATGACGTAGGTAATCAAATCTTCCCAAAACCTCTTGACTTCCTCAATGTACGGCCCCCATTTTGAGAGGAGACCAAAGCTCCTGAAGTCCCCGTTAGACAGACGGAGCTTCAGGAAGTACTTTGAGAGCCATTCGATTGTTTCATCCGCCTAGAAAAACAAAGTGCAATTTTAATTATCTGGCTCCGTTTGAAGTATTTAACACTAATTAGAGCATGTCAAATAAATAAGGAGTGTTTTGTGTTACCTGTTGAGGGGAGAGCAGGATGGAGCGGGTTTTGTTTTTCTTTATCATGGGATGAGGAGAACAGCCCAGCACTCTTAGTGATGTTCTCCAACAGTCTGGACTGAGAAGCTGTTTAGAAGAGCCTGCAGGAAAGTGAACATAGTCAATTTTAGTCAATCATAGTCAAAGTACAAATAGCTTTTTGAAAATAATTTCTAAGTACATTTTCACTTATGGCAAACCATTCATATGTAGTTTTTGGAATGTACATTTAATGTTTATAAATTATGATTACAAACGTCATGCTAAACTACCACAACAGGGCAAAAGAAGGATGCTTAGATGCATGAAAAATTACTAGAAAAATTACTTAGTTACAAACATCCATATCAGTCAAATCTACAAAAAAAGCAGATCTGGACCGATTTAGACACTTCACTTTTATAAATATAATTTAGCAGACATTGGACATAGTATCTAATATATAATATCTAGATATCATATCTTTTTAAAAACAAAGATTGTGACCTAAAATCTGAGGTTTGCAAGTAAATTAAAATAAATGAACCACTATTCTGAGGTGATTACATGAGGATTTCATTGTGACAATTTGACATCGAACCAATAAAATCTGAAAAAAAAAAAAACTCACAATGGACGAGTCTATGTCAGAGAGAAGGAAAGACATACTCTGCATGAGCAGACGAAGGAAGTCACTGTAGTGGTCTGGAAATTGGTAAAGCAGCAGTTCTGTCCAATGCTTGCAGAAGATGTTGAAGGGCATGAGGACTTCTGGCTCAGGTTCCAGCCCACAGGTGCACAGAGCCTGATGGATTATTTCCATCAATCGGCTACGCTCAGAGAACTGAGGCTGCGGCACCGACAGCCACTCAGTCAAGTCAAACTAGAAACAGAGCAGATTGTTCAACATCATTTTTTTTTTAAAGTTGCAAACATGAGCTACACATTAAAACGCAAAAAGTAGAGCAATCAAAGTCTCAGAGGGCCATGTGAAGGATCCAGTGTGAGGTGGTTGGAGAGTGCAGATTGTCTTGTACATTTAAATTAGATTGTTTTTGTTCTGCACAAAAATAATTTTATAAATCAGTTATAAATCACTTTTCCTCATGGAATAAAAAAACCTCTAGAATAATTTTTCAATTTATGGGTTATGGGTTATTTTTCAATAACCCATAATGCTTTCAATTTCAACCTGTCTGATAAATATTTATAGTATTATTCAATGAAGGCAAATTACTTTTGTGAGGAGCATGAATATGACATCACCACTGTCTATGTGAAGGGTGTTGACCACTTCCTCGTACAGAGAGACCAGCTCTGCAGGAGAGGCGTTTGGGGTGAAGTAGGGTGAGAGAAGGTTACAGAGGTGTCTGTTGAGCAGGATGGTCTTCAGCATTTGTTTACATTCTGATCGGACATCCCGGATGAAGACCTACAGTCAAAGATACACTTTATATCATTTTAACAGGTAAGACTCGAGGGTTGTAAATAAAAAAACATTATAAAAATAAAATAAAAATTACTTCATGTAAAAAAGTCAATTTAAATGAAAACAAATGTGAGAAAACATCATTGCATTTTGAAATTAATGCTGAAATAATGTAACATAATATAGTTCACTGGGTTGAAAACAATACCTGACCAAGGATCTCTATACAGGATGTGAAAAATTGCCGGGTGGGTGGATGTCTCTGTGTATCCTCACACACAAATGACACTATCTGATAGAAAGCAGTGATGCCCACCTTCAGTATGCCAGGGGAAGGATTTAGTTTGTAAGCATTAACCAAGGCCCTAAACAAGAAAACATGATGTTCACATTTAGTGACACAAATATAGAAAGTTTCTAAACTTATTTGAGTGGGTACTGACGTGATGAAGTTCTCTGTGTGCACGGCCGCCTCAGCCAGACTTTGAGGAGGAGCTTTGACTCCATCAACCTGTAGCTGTTTAATATCACTCTTCAGGCATTGGATCTGATTCTGCACTGGATCCAATTTGTGCAGTCTTGAGTACTGCAGCACACAATGAGGGAGAAAGAGAGAGAGCTCATGAAAATGTAGGATTTTCTGAGAAGTTGCCAAAATTGTTTATATTATTAAAGGGGTCATGAACTGAGAAATCAATATTCCCTTGATCTTTTGATGTATAAGAGGTCATTGTGCTATAAAAACATTCTGAAAGTTTCAGAACTCAAAACTTTCTCGTAGTCTAAACGCAGCTTATATTGAAGCCAGTCTGCCAAAACGACAGCTTGTGGAATGTGCCACTTTATGACATAATAGTGTTGCTAAACCCCACCTCCGCAGAAGATCAACGCCTGCTTCTACAGCACTGCCTGTTTAGCCCCGCCCACCGATTCATGCACGTAGTAGGTAAATGACAAGAGCAGCAATCACAGGTCTACGCAGAAACCAAACGGTAAACTTTATTAGATTAACTTAATTTTTAATGAAGCGCCAGACTGAGTCAGTAAAAACTTGGTCCTTTGTTCACTTCATTTTACTGTGGATTCGTTTACAAATGATTCGACTCAAGATTTTCAGAAAGATTGAAACTAAAAGACAATGCTATGCCGGATATATTGAATCCGACAGTAATGTCGCACCACACAAGTGTAACTGTTTTCATTGCACGATCACTATTACTTTGTCTGTTATTACAGAACATTTGATATGTACTGAGTATTTATGCATTTTTAACCTAAATCACAGCAGTGTCCATCTTTGTAGGACGTGGGCTGTCAAACACACACAACTGTTATCCAATCATAGCAGTGGGCGTTTACTTCAATTGAATCCGACAGTAATGTCGCACCACACAAGTGTAACTGTTTTCATTGCACGATCACTATTACTTTGTCTGTTATTACAGAACATTTGATATGTACTGAGTATTTATGCATTTTTAACCTAAATCACAGCAGTGTCCATCTGTGTAGGACGTAGGCTGTCAAACACACACAACTGTTATCCAATCATGTTCTTCCGCGGGATGTGTGCACAGTTCTGTTTATTAAACCTAAATCACAGCAGTGTCCATCTTTGTAGGACGTGGGCTGTCAAACACACACAACTGTTATCCAATCATAGCAGTGGGCGTTTACTTCAAAATCTACAATCTGCCACGGCTATTCAAACAGAGCGTTCTGATGAGGGGGGTCAAAACAGGACAAAAAATAGACTATTACTTCTAAATTATGTTTTTTGATATAAAAATCTTGATAACATTATAAGAGAACTACACAAAATAATACAAAATGCACAAAATAATAAAAAAGGCAGTTCATGACCCCTTTAAAGCAGCACTATGTAACTTTTTCTGTGTTCAAAATTTGCAAAAAGTATATAATGAGCGAGTACATCATGAATTCATCTTCCAAACCGCGTTTTTGTCTTATTCTGAATCACTACGGTACACTTATAATAAGTACTTATATTTGGACTATTGTAGCCTGGTCGGGTCGTCACTGCTGCGGAGTAACACATACCTGCGTGAATCGCCATAGACATAAACTTAGGGAATTAGCTCCGGTTGGAATGTTCTTCCGCGGGATGTGTGCACAGTTCTGTTTATTAACCGCTAGAGCGCCAAAAGTTACATAGTGCTGCTTTACTGCAGAGAAGACAGGAATTTAGTTAGGGAGAAAAATAGGTCTGACATAAGGTTTGACATTTCACTACTAACTTAAACTTAATTTATTTCAGTTAGTTTAAGGCACAATTTCAAAAAAGTATATTAAAGGGGTCATATGATGCAATTTAAATTTTTAGTGTTACATACGGAAGTTCTAAGCGGCCATGCAATGTATTTTTTTTCCTTCTTGTTTTCTCGTTATAACGACTTAATTTTCTCGTTATCTCGACATAACGAGAGTTGTTTTCTCGTTATAACGACTTAATTTTCTCGTTATCTCGACATGACATAAAATTTGTTTTCTCGTTATAACGACTTAATTTTCTCGTTATCTCGACATGACATAAAATTTGTTTTCTCGTTATAACGACTTAATTTTCTCGTTATCTCGACATAACATAAAATTTGTTTTCTCGTTATAACGACTTAATTTTCTCGTTATCTCGACATAACAAAATTTGTTTTCT